TGACATAAGCAATGAAAAACATGAAATCAATACAGATCCTGTAGAAACTCATAAGACCATCAATATCTGCTTCAAAATTTTTGCACGATTAAGATGGAAAACACAGAAGTGGGTATATTCTTAGATCAATATGAATTAACAAAAGTGAATCAAGAAGTTACAAAATTCTGAATAGCCCAATACCAGTTAATGAAAATAAAATGTAATTAAAAGTCTACCAAACTCCAATGGAATTACTTGAAAGAATCAACTACTGTGATCTTATCAGATTAAGACTTTTTGCACATCTGGAGGAATCACATCACTAGTCCTTCAAGAAATACAAATTAAAACACTGCACTCCATCTCACACTAGAAAGAATAGCATCATTAAGGAATCAACCAGTATCAAACGCTGGTGGGGCTATGTAGGAGAAGGAACGATTCTGCTTTTGTTGAGAGTGTAGAGTGGTTTAATCGCTGTGGAAATAAGTATGGGGATTCACCAGAAAACAAGGATTAGAAGTTCCATGAAATCCAACTATGTTATTTAGGGTCTCCCAGAAAGAATTAAATCATCATACCACAGTGAAATATGTGTGTCCATGTTTATTATAGCACCATATAATAGATAAATCTTGGGAGAAAAACAAATGCTGGTCAACTGAGGAATGGATAGAAAAGTTTTATGTTTGTACAGTGAAACATTACTCAGCTATAAATGCAGTTAAACTAGAGGGCTTTATGGATAAATAGATGCAACTAGAGATCATATTATTAAGTGAAATGTATCAGACCCCTATGTATAAACAACTTATTGTCTTCCTCTTGTAGGAAATTGGCAGAGTGAAGAAGATCCAAAGTATATAATAGAAATTTGTAAGCAGGAATGAAACACCTAGGAAGAACAGAGAAACTGGAATAGGAAAAAAACAGAAAGGAAAGGCAATCGAGAAAATATATCTCTAAGATAACTAAGACAATTATACTACCAACTTTTAATATTTCATTGGAAAAAACAGTTTGTGCTTACATTGTTGGATTGATTTTACATGTCTATTATTGTAATTAGAGCAACTACTTTTGCTCTAATGATGATAACAATATGCAATTTATAAATGATTATTTCCTACTATCTTGTTTCAAAATTATGTATCATTGCTTCTATTATTATTCTCTCTTTAAAGTAAAAAAATGCAACAGTTAAGATGGGTATACTTCAAATTCTTTTTAGTTCATAGAAAAGAAGGGATTGTGTTTATATTATCTGATTAATTTTTAAACCTGTATCTTGGAACCTGAGCAACTACCTTGAACATAACAATATGCAACTAACCATTGTTTTTCAACAATCATTTAGTTCTCATTTTCTTATTTTATTTATTTATTTGTATTTTTATTTATTCATTTATTTGTATTTTAGGGAAGGGTCTAGAGGGATTTCATAGTCTCATTACTGGATCAGACTAGTAGCGATCCGCCTTCTTACAGCCTGCCAAGTGCTTGGATTACACTCGCGCACCACCTCACCCAGTCTCAATTGCTATCTCAGCATGTCCCAGAGACAGGGCCAGCATGGCCTGCCCAGGGATTGAACCTCCAGTCCTTGCACCTTCTTGTATGTGTTTTAATCCACTGAGCTCTTTGGCTGGCCCTCATTTCTTTATCTTTTAAATAAATTAAACATAGTGAAAAATCATAAAAAATGATACAGAAATTCACTAAACAAAATGATGGGAACTCAACAATGGTTCTTACACTGTATATTCTTGTCTTTAAATTAGTTGCTCAGATTATGAAGCATAATTGATTTTGTATCATTGTTTTATTGTTTCCTACTACATTGTTTCAAAATTATGTATCCTTGCTTCTATTATTATTCTCTCTTTAAAGTAAAAAAAAATGCAACAGTTAACATTGGTATACTACAAATTACTTTCCTGCCCTCTTTTAAATAAAAAAAACCTCATTCATCACTTTTTTACCAAATAACTGTTCAAGAATTATTGCCCATCATGTATAAAATTGGAGGAAAAAACTGCTGGAATACACAATCTATTATGAATGCATCTAATATTTTTATTTTATATACAGTACATGCATGTTACTCTTTTAAACAATGAATTTTCTGTTGAAATTTAAAAGATAAACTTTGTTTTCTTATATTTGTGAAACAGGGCCAGAGAAAGAGCTTAGTGTCACAACACATACCTAGCAAGTTTAAGGTCATGAGAAATAGCAATCTTGGTATTAAAATTTAAAAAAATAACGAAGAGGCTATTTTTGTGAAAAATGACATACACAAATCTCAAAAAGGAAATATATAGCATTTTTTCCATATACAATTGCTCCAATGTCAGTATCTGTGTGGCTAAATTGAGCACACAATTAAGGGTATAATGAAACACAGAGTAAGTAAATATCTGCACTATTCTTAATGGTGACAGAAACTCACTGAAAAGGTCATATTGGAGAAAAGAATGGAAGGAAACACCTGCAACAGACATAAATATGCTCGAGAATTCTCTCATGGTGGTACATGTCCACAATCCCAGAATCCAGGAGGCTCAGGCAGAAGGATCCTTCAAAATTTGTGTCCAGCCTGGGCTATGAAATGAGCAAAAAGCCAGGATGAACTGTACAGTGAGACCTTGTCACAAAAAGACAAAGAAAGGAAATACGCCTGATAGAATAGAATTCCAGTGAAGAGTCAAAGAATGCTACTTGCAGGAGCAGGGAGCCTGTCTTGTTTCAGGCTGAGTCAAAAAACCCATTATAAGGACAGAAAAGAGAATGTGTGACTTAAGAGATATAGATAGGACTATCAAGGAATGGGGTCACCTGCAGCCAAGTGCTGGGAGAGAACTCTTTGTTTCAGCCAACCTAGTAGTTGTGGGAAACTAACTCCAAAGTGTCTGAATTCTGCGGATCCAAAGGAAGGATGGACAAGACTACCATTTTGAGTACCTCTGACGTAACTAGACAATAGGCAACCTGAAAAGTGCTGTTGGGTTGGGAGAAGAGGTAGTGACATAATGGTGAGAAGTAGCTACATTACAAATGTAACAGAGATATAGTCAGTGTTGTTGCTGATGGATTGTGCCCATGATGCTTTGGGAAAGAAGAGTAGAAAAAAAGTCATTTCCATGAAGGTAGAAGTGTACATGAATATAGTTACCAAGTGTACAACGATGTCTCACTTGGTCTTTGGTAATTCTATTCTATTAGCTAGAATGTACATGACAGGAAGTAGGAGAGGGGATGTGCTGTGTCCTGAACTCCTATCACTACATCTACTCTAACTGTCTATATTCTATTTTGCAGGAGTCTCTGGGGATTGGAAGACTCACTTCACTGTAGCTCAAGCAGATGCATTTAATAAAGTGTACCAGGAGAAGATGTTAGGATATCCACCAGGGCTGTTTCCATGGGAATAGTGTCTAAAATTTTTGGATATTAAAAGGATAGGTATATTGGGGCTCGTTTATTGGAACATGTGCATGCATTGAGAAAGTGGCCATAGCATAAAAAATTATTTAATGCTGGATCTTTAAATAATCAAATCTTTACATCTTGCTCTCTTTCCTTTCTTAAATAACCAGAGTACTCCTATGCAATTAATGAAATACATAATTTAAAAATTTTTGTAATAACTGAAATACATAGGATGCTAAAAAAATAATATTACTTAAATTTTGTCAATTGTTTACAGTAAGACATACAATTCCAGAAGCACTTAGGACTTTTCTTCCTTCATATCATGTGGTGTATTTCCTGAATATATTTTCATCCGAACACTTAAGAGAAAAGATTCTTAATGTTTTCTTGTTATTTCATTCTGTTGTGTTTGAACATAAACAATAAAAATTGATATCTATGGAGTCCTTTGAAACTAATAAAATTGAACACACTGCAATTAATTCACCTTATTACATTTCAACTCAGTACTTTGCACCTGGGCTTCATTCTTGCGGAACAAGAACAGTTCCACATTAGATTCACATGTATGGCAGACTTAACTTGCTTATTTACCTGGAAATGTCTTTGAGTTTCTCCTAATCAATGTTGAGAAAAATTGCCAAAAATATTTCCTTATTTAAAGCATCACTTGGGCAGAAATAAGAGAAACAGAGAAGATAATTTTCATAAGATAAAGATCCTTAAGTGGGTTAACAATTAACTCATTGGCCTCTTCATGAATGTTCTGTAACACTTATTTAATAGTTTCATACCAGCATATATTCCCATCTCCGAATCAGACAGCAGGCTCCACTAATTAGAGAGAAGTTCATATTAACACCAATATTTTGAGCTCTCATCAAACCTCAACACTCAGTCATAAAGCCAAAAAATAAAACCATGAAAAAATACTCCCAAAAAATCAAAATGCTGATGCAGATACAATCAATTCAGAAAAAAAATTATAAATTGAATTTAAGAACTACATAAAATGATCAGAAAAGCCACTAAAAAAATTCAAAAGATTATTGAACACACTCAAAAATAGTGTAACTAGACAAATAATGAACTCAAAAAGTAATGTTAACTTATACACCATAAAAATAAAATTCAATATGATTTTTTAAATTTTATTCAGAAACAGATAGAAATGATAAAGATTCAAACCAAATTAATAGGACAGTTTCAAAAATTAAAACACTGCATATTGTTATCTTCATAGTGGTTCTTCATAGTACAAAATGCAGACATGATATCCTATCCAAATACTATTAGTACAAAACTTTCTTCTCTTGAATTAAGAGAAAGTAACTGTATATCTATCCTAATTATTTTGTATATAGAAATATAAAATGGTCCTTTCTTTGTATCCTCCTTTTTGTTTAGTTTTGTTAGATATGGGAATTCCATTGCCATTTAAATATAGTAGTTGTGTGAGTTCAAGAAAATAATCCAATATAGTCCAGTAGTCCATAATAGTAGTTGAGTATCCCTAGGACTGGCAATGTCCGAGGTTGTTGACCTGAACCTTTCACAGCTCAGCATATTAATATGGCTTTACTTCTTATGCCTCATTTTTATACTTTCATGCTGAATGGTTATAACCAAGACAAAGCAAGACCTATATAGCAACAAATGAAACATTTGTATGTGATTAGGTCAGTCAAATCCCCTCAAGATTTGTCCTGTTTAAAAAAAAAAAAAGATAAGCTTGGGGCTGGGGAGATGGCTAGCAGAATAAGCACTTGTCTGGCAAGCTCAAGGGCCTGAGTTCAAGGCCCAGTTCTGAAAAAAAAAAAAAAAAGATTTATCCTGTAACCCTGTATCGCAGTTTGCACACCCTATGTCAGTGTCATCCATATGTATGAGTCAAGGCCATTTCAAGATGATTAAAATAAAAGACTACAAAGCATGAGTGACCAGTATAGCAAATAAATGAAGAAGTAAGGGACAGAAGTGCAGAAAATAAATAATTGCATTGCAAGCATTTGCAGGAGAATTAACCAATATGAGGAGAGTATCAGAAGGAAAATACTCATCTCATGCACCTGATAATCACAAAGGCTGCTGTAGGTACTATGACAGAAAGAAGATGAAACTAAGATTTGTTTCTAATGAGTGAAAATTCACAAGACAAGGGTTTTACTGGTCTGCTCAAAGTGGTGAAGTGCTCCATATTCACTACTGAACACCTCCATAACAAAGCACCAAGGGGCTGGACAAAAACAGCCTACAGAGAATCCAAAGGGAGCTGAAGGCACATGGGAACTAAGAGGGAACTGAAAGGGGAGAAGAAAATCAGATTGATTGTTTCAGAAGAAATAGCTCACTGCTGCTGATCCCAGACCATGTGGCAAAAATAGAGCAGCTGTGGAAAGCAACAGGTGTTTGGCACAAGCAACTTTTCTCCTAACTGGGCGACTGAGAAATGATGGACTGGGAGAGGTTTGGACAGTTAGAGGCAGCAGTGAAAACAATAAACTATTTCCTGAGGACTGAGACTCAAATCAGCAGTTAGACAGTGAAATATTTTGGCTAATTTTATGGGCATTTATCTGGAATCTGAGCCACTACTTTGAAGACAACCATGTGCAATAAAACAACTATTGTTGCATCCCTATCATATGATGTTGAAATTATGTACCAATTCTAATAATTTTATTATTTTTATTTTCCTTAATATAGAAAAGAAACTGTTAAAAAAAAATAAGAAAAAGTAAAAATTCACCCTAATCTCTTTCCGTGGAGGAGTAGCAGAATGAATGGAACTGCCATTGTATTTTAAAGATCTCAGTGTTTCAACTCCAACTGCAGAACAGCTCCACGGTCACTGCATTGCTCTCATCTCTGTATGGAAAGAGGGAAGTTTCATCACGCCACGGTAGAGAGTCAACAGATGTACAGCAGACTAGGGGGCATTCCGTGGAGAAGTAGAAGCTGAAACCACCCAGATTCCATTGTTCTGGAGGCCAAAATCTAGTCTTAGAGCTAGCTACAACTGACTGGAAGCAGTCCTCTGCTATGTGTCAGTTGGGCAAGCAGGCAAATAGCACAGTCCAGCAGTGCAAAAAGGAACACCACCTGCTCTAAGAAAGATGGTGACAGAAGGTAAAGGGAAGATCAGGGGCACTACTCTGTGCTACAGTCAAAATGCAAGGAGACTCATTGGTGTGACTAACATGAACACTACACCCAGCACAAATGCTGCTCTGGACATGGTGGGGCAACTTAGTACAGATTCCCTCTCTAACTAGGGAAGTAACTCAATATTGTGGCAACAGAGGAAATATTTATGGTACATAAAACTATGCAAAATAAATAGCAATTCACATGGAAAATCAAACAAGCGCTAACACAATTGAAATTGGGAACATTAAAACCACAATGTCACAAATAGATAGATTGATTAGAAAAAGTATCAACACAGTAATATCAGAACTGAAAAAAACATGTGAAAGTATAGACCTACTAGAGGTTTATACAGTTTTCTTTTTTAATTTTAAATTTTTTATTATCTCAGCTCAGCAAACATCAGCATAGACCGCTGTTCTTTCTGGCAAACTTGATAGCTGATGGCATGCTAGCATGATGGTGTAAGGTCCTTCCCAGCAAGCACCAAGAGAAGCAGGTTGTCTCTTTTTCATGTTGGACTTGATCACAGGTCTGGGCTGCTAGTGGGTTATCAGTTCTCTCGGGAACAGGCTTGTGAGCTCAGAACAAGCAGTGGGTGGACTGCAGGAGGGGCTGCAGATGGAGTGTGTATCCTGCAGAGTAGACTACGGAGACTATAAGGACTTAACAAGGTTGTATGGTAATAACAATAAACTTCTCTCTGGATGGTTAGCAACCTAAGTTTGCAGACCAAAATTAGAGAAAAAGGATGGCCACAGGAAAGACAACATTTTGGCCCTAGCCTTCCAAGGTCAATTAAGACTCAGGAAATATCGGAACTTGTACTGTAACATCATGTAACTCAGTAGTGTCCCAAATTTTCTGATCAAGGAGATTATGGGGCCAAAGATGAGAGTGATTGATGATATAGAGTATGCATAAGGAGAGTCACATGGAGAGAAAACCTTCTCTCAGGCTTTCACAGAGAGAACATTGGCCAAGCAATGGCCGTGACTCATCCACATGGCTGACACTGACAAAGGATGTACAATCTGAGGTACAGGATCTCAGGACAAATCCTGAGGGGATTTCACTGACCCTATCAGACCAAAAACCTACAACTCT